GGAGCGGACGCCCATGAATACGGAGATCCTGTCGATAAAACGAGAAAAAAGAAAGTGCGGAAGAGGAACGCGGGGGCGAAAAAAGGGGGGCGACAAAAAGAAAACACGTCGGAAGGTAGCGAGCGGGTGGGTAGGCAAAGGCGTGCAGAGGAAGAAAGACGGAAAGAGGGAAGAGGAAAGAAGAGGTAACGGCGGGAGGGGTAGGAGTAGGGAAAGAGTTGGTAACCCAGTGCCGCCAGGAGAGTGCCGGAGCAATGTAGTCGACCACGAATGAGCGTACCAACGGATGGGGTGGCAACACTTTGTAGTTTTAATCGATCCGGTGGGACGGGGGAGAAAGACGGAGCACCCCCGTGCTCCGTGCAGAGGGCTAGTCGCACGAGGTGAGGCGCGGCGTGTGCGGCAAGAAGAGCGGGAAGGAGCGAGGGAGATCGACCGTCGTTCGGGACGAAGCAGGAACGGAGAGGTCTGATATCAGGAGGAAGAAGGACGTGCCGAAGTGGCCGAGCGACGAGGAGACGACAGTGGAAGAGGGATGGAAGGAACACCCGGAGAGAGAGTAGAGACCCACATCCTGCCGACTCCTACAACTTCAACCACCAGCTGGCTACACCTCCTATCTCCGCGGGAGCGAGTTATATGTATGTGAAAGCACGTGGACCCTCGGGTGGAAGAAGGACGAAAGGATTCATTCATTTCCTCGTATATTTCGTAGAAAAGATCCACGCTCCGTACTTCCGTCGTCAATGTCGCCGTGCCACGCCGCACCATGCCGTTACAGGATTTCACTGTTCGAGGAAACAGGTGGATAGCTACGATTTCCCTCTACGGGATATTGACTCGCTCACTTTTAACAGGGTCAAATTGTATTTAAATAGTTCGTACTCAGAGCTATAATCATAACTTATTAACAAAATATAGATAGTCGCCTATTTTAGTATTTAGCAAAAATACAATTATACTTATATTACCTGAGACTTAGTATACTAACATATGTGCATAATAAGAAATACTCAACATTGAGTAAGTGAAAATTTTCATTAGAATAAGTTATTTTCTATAACGTATTTACACAATAATTGTACCTCATAGTAAATCATTTTATTTAAATAAAGTCTTTGTTGAAGTGCAATAACGCATACCTGAACATTTAGGGTAGAATGTCTTTTAGTTTAAGATGTTCATTGTATCCTATAAGTAAAGATTGGTTTAAGGTAAAAATTTTGACTTCCTTATGTTTTTATGTTTATTTTTATTTATGACCACTTAGGGTAACAGTAAGGGTTTTATGACTCTTCGTTTTTGCAAGGGTTGATCATCGTCTGGTTGCCAGATGTTTTCTGTAGTTCGCGACCATCAGAAAATACCCTAATGAACATTAATAATAAGCTGAATAAAGATTATTAATCTATTTCCTGTCTTACGGTCGATAGAAGCGTTTTAGCGAATTCAAGATCCGTAAAGGACTACCTATAATAATATAGTGTTAGCTAGCGTGACGAACACTATTGTAAGCAGCAACTAGCCCCAATACGGACGGCGAATTCGCAGAAGCGTGTTGGCGGTGTCTTCAGCCCGTGCGGCGCTTTGCTCAAGCTGAACCCGAAATGTAGGTATAATATATTTGCAGCACAGGACGCGCCTTTAAGGGTCGAATCACGATAGAATATTGTCGAGGTCGATGTAGGAGAAATTGAGGGGAGAACATTAAAACACCGAGGCGAGGGTGCGGACAGTAATAGTGGCGCCGGCGAGGGTAGCTCGTCGCTGAAAAGGGGTGGACTTAATATAAGGCTGGCTGCGTAGTAACGAAACGGTTCGTTATATTTACACGAAATTTCACGCGAATATCATTATTAATGAACGAGTTGAAAAACGTTGGGCACATAAAATTGTTTATCCCGTTAAGTATGCCGGAATATTAAATGAAATATTTAGTTTGGAATTAAGAATTTATGAAAATTAACGGTGTATGATCAAATCTGCGAGGCGAAGTTAATTAGCTTGTAAGTATGCAGGGCTTGTGCTGAGTCAAAGATAGGATGCAAAAAAGCATCCGTAATGTATTCCGCTGGCAAAGTCGCACGATGCAAAAGTCCTGTGGGTAAAAATAAAGTTTGGAAGATTTACATCCTACGAAAAATGTAATGCTTTAGATTCGTCGGCCAGATTGACGCATTTTAATATGTATAACGGGAACATATTTCTTCTCAACGTGTCCCTCGATGTCCCTGGGACGATGAAAATTCAAACCGTATGTTGTTTAATTCCTCAATGTTTCACAGTAAAGAGGAACCATTTCTGTCAATTTTTTCCCCGATACGAACTTTTCGTTTCTATCTTCTGTCACTATGTTCGATCATAACAGCAGATTAAGACTCAACGATTTCGACATGTAATATCGTGTTCGCGTGTAAATGTACATAGTAAAGGGTTCTAATGTATTACTTAGTAAATACGCGCCTGTCACTTCGTTTAAGAGATCTAAAAACTTTCATTCGTTTTCGTACATCCCTTCAAGTATCGTTTGAAGCATTGCTTCGATTGGGGGACGAAACGAAACGAAAATGGTATGCTATCGGCTTTGTAGGTACCGTTGCAATTACCAGCCACGGGGTTCCGTTCCCCTGAAGATAAATGAGACAGTGGATCAACGTCCACGAACTTCGACTTCTGCGTACAATGATTTATCAAAATTAATGACCGCCGAGACCTACCGGTTCTACTGATCGTATTGATGATTGGATTCCGTCTATGACTCGCAATTAATACGATAGATATTCAAAGGACAGAATTAAAAACTTGAAAACAGTTTTATGTACTAAAAAAGTTTATTCCTAGGATACAGAAATATTATATAATATTTTTCTCACCTACAACACTTACAAAATTTTGAATCATGTGGTTGCATTTTTATTCAAAATCTCATTTGAACCTTGTTTCATACCAAACGCTGTAGATTTCATTTTTAGTTTCTTATATTTGAAATATTGTTATCAAAATGCAATACAGTACTATTGACTTCTACAGCCTCGAATAGTCAATATCACTTTTTTATGGGAAAGTGTATGTAACATGAATTAAATCAAATAGGTATATAAAATGATGAAATGTAGAATTGTTGTAAACATTTATTCTCCGATCATAAAGCATTGACTAACTGTGCTATTGGAAAACCAGAAGTCTGTGGTATTTTCAATAACAATGTAGTTTCCAAGTGTTAATATCAATATAAAGTAATGTCATCTACTAATTTATAATTTAAACGGATCTAACTAGTAAATAAGAATTTTTATCAAAATTCCTTTGACATTAGCTCAAATACACATATTAACTTTTATCCGGGGCTATTCAAGTGAAAAACACTGTACATGTATTCCTTTCCTAATAACAGGACTATGTGGTTTCAAATTCATTTTAATAGTAATAGCAGATGAGTGACAGAAGGGAAGCCATCTGAGACTAACAAGTCATACAAATAAAGTTTCTAGCAGAAAATTCTCACCTTATTTATAATAAATTGATACTTGTTTTACCGTATATTATGTATTTACTGCATAATATGTATAATAAAGTCTAAGAGCTCAGCTCATATGAACATATGACATCACGCATAAGAGACCGTTTCGAATTAATGAAATAGTTTGTTTAGTTATAGTTGTATAACTAAATGTGATGCAAACAACGTCTATAAGCAATAATTTGTTTATCCTAATTATATCTGTATATGTTCAATGAATTATACATGTATGATTACAGTAGTTTATTAATCTTATTAGGATGAACATATCCATTCACAAGAGTACGTGCGTGAAAATTTTGAAGGAGATTTATGACAGTTCTTCGACAGGAAGAAGACATTTTCATCTTGTTTAGAGAAGACATTTTTTAGTAGATTCCGAAAAGTATTTTACAATGGCAATTAGCAAAACATGAAGGTACTCCGATCTTCGAGGGTCATGTTAGATAGAAGAGATGTCTTCCCTAAAGAAGTATCCTTCCGTCGAGGAACCGTCATAAACCTCCTTCAAAATTCTCACGCACGTGATCCGTTCAACGGTCGGAACAATTTATTATTAAAAATTATTTAAATTAATATTAATAGAATTGCAAATAGTTGCACATGCTAAACGCATTTAAATTTGAGGCCAGAAGACTGTTAGACTTTATCATAAACGCCGTGCTACTTTTACACAGTAAAAGCGTATCAAGTGAAAGAAAATTGTGTAAAAACTGTCCTGTGAACACTAATGAGCAGAACTGTGAATAAATCGTGTTAATGGAAACGTAGCTTTGAAATCGTGTAAAAGGAAGGTCAGATCTAATTAGAAATCTCCATCTCCATCCAGAAGCAAGAACGAATGACATATTTAGAATATATTAAGTTCAGAACTAAATATCATCAAATCATGAACCCCCTTTTTCTAATTCTCACAGAAGAAAATCCAACAACCTTCGATTTCAGTTCGCCAATTTTCTGTTTCGTAGGACGTAACTGTCGACTCGTTTCGGATGTAGAAAACGAGCTCTCGAGATCGTATCGTTAGAATCTGGTGCGTTGTCAACCAGTGTCCTTCCCGCGTAAGGAGAGCCAGGGTCGGGTGTCGATCGGTCCTTGGCGGCAATCGCTCCTCCCGGGCATCATCCCCCTTCGCCTCGGTACTCTTCAGCCCCTTCGAGCTGATTTGCATCACGGTTACGAGCTCGTTCGAGCTCGTGGTGGTTATATTACAGGCCGTGGCGAGAGGGAGACAGGGTATACGGATCGGGAATGGAAAAAGGGGGGACAGAGAGGGTGCCCTCTCGTGCGGCCGCGCTTCCACCCCCAAAACGGCTCGCAGGCTCGGACACTCATAACAATCATAACAACGGGATCTCCGCGGAGTAACTCACGGACCACCCTCCGCGCATTGGGGCCGCCCACAGCTACGCCCACGTTACCCTCTCCAGTTTGTACCAGCATTGGCTGGCGGGAGAGAATCCACGGTGGGTTGCTTTCCTTCCCTCGGGTGAACAGCGGGGCCACTACGCAGCCAGACTGCGGACCGTCAGGATTCAGGTCCAAGTTTTCGCGCCGAGCTCTGACCGCGCAACGTGCACACCACGCTGCCAGGCGACACGAGGACCCGACGAGCAGATCCAGCGGCAACGACCGACGTCGATCGATCACCCCCTCTGGATCGCTGCTATTAGACGGCGTTGGTGGTTCGCGTGCATCGATCGAAATCTGATTTCAACCAAGGAGGGATTCTACCACTGTGGACGATACGGCACGGAACGTCCTTCGTCCGCGCGACGAGGCGCGAGGCGTGAAGGACCTCGGGCGAGTACGAAGGAAGTTGGTGATTACGGTTGCCGGTGATCAGCGTAGTGCGCGCGTTTCGAGAGTGATCAGGGAATCAGAGCGTAGAGGTGCGTGCGCCGACCCCTTCAGTCGGCACGTGGACGCGCCGAAGAAAACGTGCATAGACTCACGCCGCTGTTCCATTCCTGACTGTATTATTTTAGTGAACGCTGCCGGCACGAGGTGACGTTTAAGTGAAATAAGTACGCGGCCCGTCTGACCGTTACGTGCACAAACCACTGTGCTCCGTGCGACCAGATGACTAGAGTGTATCGACATCGTAGATCGACCGTTCGGAGGGACAATCTTCTCTGACTGTGAATCGTGACTGTGTTCGTACACCGTTGAAGACGTACACTGTCGCGAGGGACCACGTGCGGGAGGCGTTAAAACGTGGCAGGTGCTACGGACAGGTGGTGGGCCCGTTTAATCGCACGGCAATAAACGTAAGACACTGCGCTGTAAGATTGATCAACGTGATTCGAGAAACCGACGAACGGTTCGCGCGCGTATGTGTCCCTACGTGTGTGTGCGGGAGTGTTCGCGCAATCAGAAGGAGCGCGCGTCGTTTCATCGTCGTACTAACGATTCGGCTTGGCGACACAGTAATAAGTGACAATACAAGGACTCGGACACTAATAAACTCCTAATTATCGCCGACGGTAATTACGACGCTGCACGTGACTACGGTTCTGTTCCTCGTCGAAGGAATTGCGCACGATAAGCATGCTGAACGCGCACACCGCTAACAAATAGAATAATTAAAATCGCATTAAAGGGAAGCTCGCCCGCGCGATTTCTGCTCATTCGTACACGCTATCTCGAAAGTGAACAAACACCGAGGCGACGTGGTTCCGAGTTACAAATCGACCAGTTCTTCCCGTTTAAACATCTCAAAGTGCTACGCGTTCGTAAAAAAAAAATTCGTTCGGATTCTCTCCTCATCCGTTCCGGGTGGTGAGGAACGATCCAGGAATCGAGCGAGCAATTAACTGTTTGCTTCTTAATCGCTCCTAATTACTCGCAATTACCCGGCGTAATTAAGTAGGCTGATGTCACCGGCAGTCAATGTATTTGTGAATCGTTTGTCCGTCGACGTCGTCGGTCCACCATCCGGACTGTTGCCCGTCGTCGCTGCCCGTTGGAAAATCGCGGAGGGACTGTGAGGAGATCGGCGGGAGGAAGGTGTCCGAAGAACGGGAAATATCGGTGGAATCGTTGTGAGGACACGGACGAAAGAATTGATCTGGACTGTGGCGAAATCGCGAACAGTTTACCCGGTTTCGGGCAGGTGGCATCGTGCTGAATAAGTAAAGGAACGAGTCGAGAGAACATACGTCAGGACGACGTCCCACGTACATCAGTCACAGGTCGCCTCTGGTGAGTGTCGAGCAGCGCACTTCATTTCATCCGTATTAAAAGAAGGGGGACGATGTTTGTAATTAGCTAGGTCGTCTAAATGCGACTCTTCGGCAATCGTAATCTACGTTGATATATTCTTACACGAATCGATTTATACGGATTGAAGCTCCGCCGTGTATCGCTGGATATAGATTAGTCTCGTAAAAGTTTCATGTCGTTTCGAAGAGCGTTCCTCTATTTTTGTTCGAGAGAAAAGAGGTTATTAAGAATGTTCCTCGCGCGAAAGAGTAACCAATTTTCTCAAGGAGATATCCTCGAGATCGGATTTCATCGCAACGAGTCTACTAGGAGAAACGGTAATTGCGGTAATTGCTTGATAGGTGAAAAAAAAAAAGGAACGTGGGGAATATGTTTCCATCAAAATTTCGGTGCGGTCGATACAACTGCGTATATTTATATCCGAGGCAATTGCAAGGCTCGCGAGCGATAATCGCTGCCCCGATAGCATGAAGTTAATCTCTGTAATTAAGAAAGTTACTCGGGGGCCCGGCCACGCGGGAATGTTGCCTAGCGAGAGATTGAAACCGGCGCGGCGCGCCGCGTTGGTTCGTTCCGTGCAGCTCCGTGCCCGAAGCACCGGTGATAATTCCCCGCGGCTACTTAGCTGTGTCCTAATAATTAGTGTGATAATTATGCGCGATCGCGTACGTGTTCGCGTCCGTTCTGACCTGAAAATGCTAATTGAAGGATCGGGACGGGTGCGCTTTCTTAACCTTGGCCGTTTCATGTCGCGTTCTCTAGTCAAACGTAAAAACAAAACCCGGTATGCAACTAACGGTTGCGGATGTTCCTGCATTTATAAGAAACAAATATAAGTTCATTGAGAGCTACATGTAGAGATGTCAGTATGAAATACTAGAAGTAGAATATAAATAGTAGAAGTAAAAAGTAGAAGTAAAAATCCTTATTTAAATATTTTATTAATCATAGTGTCCGCATGTTATACGTACAAGTTGTATAGAGTTATTTAAGTATTGCTGACATTCTTAACAATATTTTTTCTTATCAAATCATTAAATCGAGGGACATATATTCACTCTTTACAACGTGGACTTATAAAAGTATTTTTTTTATTGTACAATATTGTGCCCTCCCATTGGAAAACATCTTCCTTTTTCTAGTTCCAAAAAGTCGTGTAGACGGTGGAAAATGTAGCAGCGAAATTCTTAAATACGTGAAAAAGGTGAAAATGTTTGAAACGAAATTATTTGGTGTCTGAATCGTTGAAAAAAATAACGTTAAATTTTACTGTTCATAAATATACAATCTCATTAGACACGTGAGAGAAGCGAAAACAATGTTAAAAAAGTGTCATCGCGCCGGTATCATCGTGAAATTTTGAATGTTAAAGTTGCGCGGGGACGCAATCTCTTCAATTACATCGACTCGATGACTACCCCACCGCATCGGTCGACAACTACCCACAGCGGGTGAAAAAGCGGCCGGTGAACCGCGATGTTCTATCGAAATCATCGGGTAGAATGACCCCGCGGGTCGGTGGGTCGAGGCGGCGCGGTGTGCTGCCCCGGTACACGCGCGCAGCCAAGTGCGTGTCGAACACGCATGCACTCGTCATGAATCCAATTAACCAGGGCGCATACGCGTGCACAACAGATATTTTCGATGAAATGACACCGTCAGTGAGCCACGCCGGCCACTGTGCCACGCAGACCCCGGCTCCCGGATCATGTGATCGGAGAGGTAAACAGGAGCACGTGTTGCCGGCGTGACTACGAGAGAGTGACGCCCGCGGGGTTTGAGGGTGTACTGCGAGCGAGGAGGAGGGTCGGGCCGAAGGGGTTACGGAGCGGATGGAAAGGATGTCGAGGGTAGAATATCAGTGCGAACAACTTGCCAGGGAGGGTAGGAGAGAGTTCTTTACTTGCCGCCTCGGGACCATGGTGAGTCGCTGAAAGAGAGAGGGCGGTTAGAGAAAGAGGGTGAACGGCGAGGCGGGTGGCTTTGCTTGGCGAGGGTAGCGGGGCAGGAAAAGAGAAGGAAAGTGGCGGTTGATGGAGAGTCGAAGGCGGGAAATCCCAAAGGAGACACTCGGCCCGCAATATCGTTGGGATAGTCTTTCCGTTGTTATGGGATAGTTCTTATCTGTTCTTCTAGTATTCTTCTAGTACTTATATCATCGATTTATAGGTAGCTAGGAAATAATAGAATTTCTGTGATATCTGTCTTTTAATTTACTTAGCAAATCTTGAGAATTGGTATTGGTATCGTTTTGGAACCAGTCGGTAATTTATTTCTTTAATTCTAGAGAATTCAATATTGGTTGTCACTTATAATTACTTCTAAGAGTAGATACAAATAATTTCTTTTAAAAAAAGATTACCTAAAATTTCAGTATTAAAATGTGGAGCGAGAACACCATTATTTAGATAAGAAATGAATTTTGCAAATTTAACATTTAAAAGAATAACCGAATAAAACAGAAATCAAGTAGTCGGGCAAAAAGATTTCGTATTCTCGAAACAAAAGGGATCGCGTGGGTATGAATAAAACGTGCGGTCGGTGAGTAATGGAGGGAAACGCGGATATTGTCCGGGTCAAGAAAAGTAATCGATGCTTCCCCCTTCTTAAATCCTTGCACATTTCTCCTCGTTCCTCCGCGTTTATCCTCTGTCTCTGTTCTCCTTTTCCCTCCGCTCGTCAACTCCGGCTTCCAGCCCCATTCAGCTCCCTTTTAGCCGATTCAACCCCTGCCGACGATCCGACGCGCGATAACATTTCGCTCGACAACTTACCCACTTCCAGCTCCGCTTTGTAGCCTTGCTCTCTATTTTCCATCCGGCGCCCTCCATCGATTATCGACTCACGAATCACCGCTAAGCAAGTTACTATTGCCATGCCGCTGCGCTGTTTTCGAGCGTCAAATGCGAATCGAGTGTTTCCTTCCCAGTCTTGTACAGTTACGTGTTCCGACGCGATATCGCGTATTAATCGTTGACACGTCGTCCCTGCTTGTATTCGATTAAGCAACGTTCTTCCGTTCGAAGCCAGTTGTCCTGTTCCTTGTTTTCCCTGTTTTACGACATACTCCTTTCTCTCGTCTGCTTTCGCTTCAGATGTTTTCTTCAATTGTTAGAAAGTTATTTACCTAATAATTCTACCTGCCTTCTTTAATACATTTATTTTGAAGAATTGTATTTTTATTTAGGATAATCATTTTGCGTGCGATGGAAGTCCTTCTTTACTAGAATTAATTTTTGCTTTTTAATCTAGATGCAATCAATAGATTCTCTTGATTCATTAATGCACACGGAGTAAACGTAATAAGCACGTTTTTGCCAAGTGGCCCTTTAAATTGTAGAATCGAAAGGGTAGGGGATAAGTATTTAGAATAGATAAGAAGCGACGGACCCTTTTCAGTTCGAACTCTCTTTCTTCTCTTTGAAGACAAATCCCCGTGCGCACGAAATTGGTCGACGCGAGGCGACGCGACGTGACACCCCATAGCGTGAGGCAGTGCGTGCGGTGTCATTAATTCTAATAATTCATAAAGAAGCACGCACGTGCGTAACGGGGCGTACCGTGCTCGTTGCGTCGAAGGGACAGAATCGATGCTATGGCACGAGTGTTTTTGTACGCTCTATGCTCGTAATAGACCTAATTTGCGTGTAAAAGCCACTGCCAAAGATTTCCCTGCCTCGTTGCCCTATTGAGGACTTCTTCTCGCGCCCGCCGGAAGGGTCCCGTGAAGAATTTAAATTCGTCGAAGAATGGTGTCCGATGTTCCGCCCATATTTTACACCACCCCCTTTCTATCTATTAAGGCTGTGCGATGCTTGATTTATGTCCCTCGAGTTTGTCGCCATCTAATTTCAATGCTTTATTGGTCACTCGTATTAAACGTTGTCGATCAATTCGTTTTCTAATTGTCGTTTCATACATGATATCTCGTATCGGAAACTAACTGTATAAGTCTATCTGGCCGTTGAAAAAAATATTAATCTAATAATTAATAAGAGTATATTATTTCTAAATCTAAAGATTGCGCTGGTACAAGAATTGGAAATGAAAATAATTAGGCTTATAGAGTGTAGGATAAAGTCTGGATTGACTTGTTCACGATCAAGCGAGGGATAGGGTTACTTCGCGTGATAAATTTGCCCATTTTCCGGTTCGATCGAGCGTACACTTTTTTAGCGAAACGGTTAATCCGGTTGAAGCCGAGCGAAAAGGAGAGAGGGGTCCGATGAACCGAACGGCAGCTCGTCTTTGGGCCAGATGTTAATTCGAACGACTCAGCGTGAGCCGCGAAGGCGGTTTAGTACGTAAATACATCTTCAGCAGGGGGTACCATTATAATGGGCATGTGCGGTTAAAGTTCTATTTGTGGTAATTCGGAGTTTAATGCACTCACGCTCTGATTTAGCCGGCAGGCTGACATTTTTTTTGTCCGCCACAACCCCAACGACGCTGGCGCCGTAAAACATGAAATATTCTTCCTGCGCCTCCTCTGAATGCACGGCCCGCGGCCGCGTATGCACGCGTGTACAGGCGTACCGTAATGTGTACGTACAACCGTGTATCGTATCATATTTTCCGTCTTCTGTGCCAAAAATTTAACGCCACATTATGCCACCTCGCGCTCGTCGCCCCTTCGCTCTCGGATTATTTTCGCTTAAATCACCGTCGCGCCGGAACTCTCGGAAACAGGCGCGCTGCTTTTTAGTCACCGTTCGTGTTCGTTTCACGGTTTCAAAGACCGAAATTAGCGTTTGTAATTAAATATCGTACACAAGACGCGATCATCTTTATTTATGTAGAATCAATTGACGAATCAAAGAGATGTGACATTCATTTTAAGGTTGTATGTGTATGTAAAATCTCCTACAAATGTTCAAAAAATATAAGAAAAAACTGTGACCAGTATTGGAAGCGATAAACTTTTGGGAGAAATGATATTTGCAGAGAAGTAAGGTTTATTAAATTGATTGACGTGCTCT